AAGCCACGTTACATCAACGGAGCCGGCCCACGCTCCTTCATAGGCAAACACAAGCACGCTGTATTTGGGGAATCAATCGCACACAAGGCGGTGTGTGGACCGTAGCCTGCTCCACACATTTCATGGAATCACTGTTTGAGCATAGCACGGTCACAAGGACCGTGCACCCTGTCCCCTCCAGCAACGACCAACAGTCTCCTGGAGCCAGTATTTACGAGGTAGTTGGTAATAGACAGATAGGTGAGTCACAACTGCCACGTCACAGTGTTGTTAAACGGACATTAGTGGCTTTTTATAGAGAGAACGCTGCCAGCTGAAAACCCACCACGTCCTGGAACACTGCCGCCGAACTATTTGCTGAAACGGGTGAACCTGAACCACCCAGCTGGCACCATGAGGAGGTTCTTCGGCTATTCAGCTGATTCTCGGCACCATTGTAGATTGCACCTCCGGTGAAGGATGTAAGAGACTGACAGTTTTGCTTGTGTTGATGGTAAACCCGAATTTGGCCGCTGTCGAAGCCAGAGCACTAGTCATGTGTTGCAACTCATCCGCGCTGTGTGCAAACAACGCACAGTCGTCAGCAAACAGCAACATACGGATAGTTGTCTCACAAACTAGAGTTCTCGCACCGAAACGAGAGATCTTCAGCAATCCACCATCAATACGATGCTTCACATGAACACCGTAATTACAAGCCGCATCAAAAGCACAACACATCATGACATGAAGATAACTAGTAAACAGGGCAGGAGCTAAGACAAGCTTTGCTTCACACCAGAGACAAATGCATAGTCATCCGAGGTCTGTCCACTCAGCTTCACTTTCGCCCGCATACCACTGTGCAGACATTCAATTAAACTTACTCGGACAACCAAACTTACCCACCACCAGCCACAATGCCTTGCAGTTCACTTTATCAAATGCTTTGATGAAATCAGCAATAATTGTGTACAACGGCTGGTGTTATTCTCTACTATTCTACAACTGACGAGCCGCAAGAACTATGTCGATGGGGCTGCGACCAGAAAGGAATCCACATTTCTTTTTCACCACGTCCGGCTCCACAACCTGGGTGACGAAGCGGTTGAGTATGATCCTGGCAAATCACCTTACCCACACAGCTCAGCAAACTGATGCCACGATAATTCGTGCAATATTGTTTGCTCCCTTTGCTCTTGTGCAGTTGTAGCTCAAGGGCATCCTTCAGCTCAGGGGGCACCTTTTCCCCAAACCACACGCGTTACACCAAGTGGTGCAGCGCAGTCACCAACGCGGGTCTGCCGTGTTTCAGACAACATCCCATCGGCACCGGCACACTCGCCGTTTCGCAGCTGAGCAAGTGCTCTCTGCGTCTTATTCAGTGTCAGCGTGTTCGCCATACTCGCTTTTACATCGTGCTGCTTCAGGCCGTTCCAAGAAGATCGGTCGATCTCGGAACGGTTGTTCAAGCGACAGTCAAAGTGTTTTTGCCGGATCTGTATTATGTCTGCAGTCTGTGCAAGTGACGTCTGAACTACCATTGATTGGCGTCCTCAGCAGCTCCAACCTCGGTCTTTACACCGTTTTCAAGGAGTCAAAGAATTCCTTGTATTGGCGACTTTGAACATATCATTCCATCTGCTTCGCCTTCTCCGTCCACTATGCATCTTTAATGCGGCGGAGCTCTCGGGTCAGTCGCCGTCGAATTTTGTGAAACTGACTAGTCTTCTGCAAGTCGCAGGGGTCTGCCACATGTTCAGCAAATGCTGCATTTTTCTCCGACACCAATGCGCCAATCGTCGCATTGTTCTCATCAAACTAATCAGGCCGCGTACAGGTTGCGCTCCTGATGGTCTTCTCGGCAGCGGCTGTCACCTGGTTGCGAATGTGGTGCCACAAGTCGTCCACTGTGGCTATGCAGTCCGCATCACACAGGTGCACAGCCATCACCTCCAGCTCAATACCCTTCTCAACAATACCGAGGGAGTGAATGTTAAATTTACGCCGATTCACTGCGGGAATGCAACACATAGATTTACGAAAATATATGTACAGTTTGGTCTCCACCAATTTGTGATCAGTGCCACACTCAGCTCCACGCAGTACACTTGTCATGCGCACTTCACGCATATCACGCTGACGTGCGATGATATAGTTGAAAAGGTGAGCGCGACCACACCGTGGGTGCGTCCAAGTTGCTATATCACTCGCACTCAGTTCAGTTGCTCATTCGTTCGCCGTGCTGGGAAATTTGTTTGCTAACGTTTCACTGCCATGCGAGGCGGCAACATCACTGCCTTGAGATGTGCAGTGTAATCTCGCTGATTGAATTGTCGATCCGTGACCGGCTGCAGGTGACTTTTCGAAAGTGGCGGCTTCGATCTGTGTCCCGTGATCTCTACCCATTTCCCCGTGGCGGAAGTCGTCGCTCGGGTTGTTCCTATTCAAGCGGCGTCTCGTAATTTCTCTAAGTTCTTTCCGTCGAAGGGGCTGGTAAACTGGGTCAATGTCGATATGCATGTTGATTGAGTCTTTTGTTGAGAACCACGCTTCCAGGAACTCCCTTTCTCTTCTTGTTTCACCTCGTGCCAGGACTTCTGTTTTGGCCCAATCAAAGCTGTGTTCTTTTTCGTCCACGTGTGCTGAGACTAGCGATGATGCATAATGCCTTTTGCATGCTCTTTTGTGCTCTTGTAATCGTGTTGCTAATTTTCTACCTGTTTGGCCAACATAGTCCTTTTCGCAATTTCTACAACTTAGTCTATATACAACATTACGTTGCCCATGAGCTTCCAGTTTTGCTTTCGGTTTTGACAGAGTTTTCCTCAATGTGGCAGTTGGTTTGTGTGCTACGATGAGGTGATGTTGTTTGAATAGTCTTGCTGCCATTTCGGATATGTTCTTCATATAAGACAAAACATCGCGTTTCTCCCTCGTTTGTATAGACTCTGTTTAGTATGTTGTGGTTCAGACATCATCGGATAAAGCTTCGCGGGTATCTGTTGAGCCGGAAACATTTAAATAGATGCCTCTCTTCTTGTTGTCTTGCCTCTGCGGTACTGCAGTGTGTTTACACCCTACCAAATAATGTCCGCACACAGCTTACTTTGTGGCATTTCGGGTGGTTACTGTTAATGTTCAGAATTTGGTCCGTATGTGTCCATTTTCTGTAAACTGATGTTTGCAACCTGCCGTTCATGGTTCTGGTTACTACTACATCCAGGAAAGACAGTTGGTTTTCATTCTCCATTTCCATCGTGAACCGGATGTCTTCGATGGCGTTGTTCAATAGCTACTGTACGACTGTAACTTGACTGCGTTTGATGATCACAAAAGTGTCGTCAATATATCGGACTCACAGTTTCGGATTAATGAGTGGGAGTACATCTCCCTCAAATTTCTGCATTACCATCTCCGCGAGGAGTCCCGATATAGGTGATCCCATTGGCGCGCCGTCACTTTCGCAAAGTCACTTGCACGCCGATCACGGATCGACAGTCTAATCAGCGAGACTACACTCCACATCTCAACGTACTGATGATGCAGCCTAGCACGGCGGTGAAACGTTTGCAGACAAATTTTCCTGCTCGGCGAACGAATGAGCAACTGAATTATCAACCCAAGCTACTAGTTTTCCGAAATATTATATATATATATATATATATATATATTTATATATATATATAACCTGGATGTATCACGTGGCTGGTGCTCTTTGTGCGCGGTGACTACAGTTGTGTTCTATTTCAGATGCTATTATTGACGATCGGTACGACGACTGCTCTACTGAACATGTCGCAGACAAAATCCAGTGGTAAATACACAGCAGGGAAAACCGAAAAATATGGTGCATCACAAGCAGTTTCTATCAGCTCGGTTGCCTTTTTCACATTATTTTCATCTTATTTTATGATACATGTGACTTTTAGACTGAAATGACTATTTCTGGGTGGTACAAGCGCGGTCTATGGAAGAAGTGCCTGTCGGCAATGTAGAGAACAACCGATTATAACTATGGGGCGAAACCAAAATAGCATGCGTCCGTCAAGTGAGCCTTTGATTTCACTGTTCTATTTCCATCGCGGAACTAAATCCTGTCCGTTGGCGTACCGGATGTGATCATCAGACGGTCGAACAGATGTGGCATTTATACTACATTTTTAAGTGACCTGCTACTGATGATAAAATAGGAGAACAGCGGATTTACCTACAGAACTAAGCAGCGTTTAAAGGAAGTATACGCACATGCCGCGTCCTTTCGGACGGCCATTTAGTACACGTGCCAATAGGGCAGCTACTTTGATGATCACCCATCTCCTTACGATGTGTTACTCAGATGCGTCTTCTTTCCATGTTCGTCCCCTTATAAGTGGCTTGGATAATTTCACCCAACCGTCTACATGATATTCTGCACTGTAGTCCCCTAGGTCTATCTCCATCTACGTACATATTGGACGCGGATGCCCCTTGAGCTCTTTGACCTGACGCACAATGCACCTCTTGTAGGTCCGAAATTGTCGTTACAGCAACTCAAAAGCCGAGAGATAGTTACGATTTGTGTAGAAACCTATCGCTACTCCCATACTGCGCTCATCATTTGTTATGTATGTCAGCAAGTCAAAACCTACTGGGATTTTTGTATGCTTTCAGTACAGCGCATGCTAGCAGTCATCGTAGAAAGTTTAATAGTGTCCTTGTAGTAAGTCAAAAGGTGCGAGATTCTTGAGGCTCACGCAGACATCTATCGTTATTTCCTCTTTACACCTTCCTGTTTTTTACGGTACTTCTTGGCCAGCTGTCTTCCATGCTTATCCTTATCATCCATTCACTTAAGATTCAATTCCGTTAGAGCAACCGTGACAACGACATCCGGCTTATTCCGAATTGTCGACCAGGCACTTCCTCCATTCGTTTCGATCTCTTACTACTTTTCTCCTACCGCCTACGAGGTATTTGCTTTGTATTACAGCCCCCAGGCCTATTACTTCTTCACTCATTGGCCCCGGACACCATCTGAGTCCTCAACCAAACTCATACCTCACACATCTCGTCTGATGGCACATTTTTACCACGTCACAACTCAGCGTCCTACTGCCGTGATAAAAACATGCACAGGCAAGTTATCGTTTCTATACGCTCACTTTATTAGGTCACTTTACTGGCCCTTCTGATCTCAACCTTGTGGTATTCAAGAATACATTCTTTGAGGTGTATGAGGTTGTAGCTGAGGGCTTGAGGCTTATTCGCGATGTCCCGGTTAATGCACGGATAGTTGCTGGTTGTTTGTTCCGACGCAAAGTAAGTTCTGTTCTTATTCTCTCCATTTTCTAGGATCACGAAACGGACTCCCTGTTTATTCTTACGCATCAAGCTGGTGTTGCTTTGATAGACTGCTCTCGTACAATTGAAAACGTCGAGTTTATTACAGTGGCTTCTGGGAGTGTTGAGGTTTGTCTCCATCACTGATCTAACGTCTCTAGGATCGCACAGCGCGCTTAATCGATCAAGGGTTTGACGTTTTGGTTGATCCCGACTCAACTTACATTGTCGCTCGCCTTTACCATGGGCTTCTTAAAGTTATGCTTCTTAGTTGTATTGGCGACAAAATTGGATCCGATTTGATGGACACCAGCCAGTGGGCAGTCAACATTTACAATGTCAGGTTGGTCTCCGTGATATGTTGATAATTTCGTGCAGAATCGAGGAGGGGAATATTATCGACTTGACTTTCTTGCACGGTTACAAGCTTCCAACGTTCGCCATGATTTATGAAGATGACCTGACACTTCACTTGAAAACTTACGAAGTATCTGGTCGGGAACCGTCACTTCACAACGTCCAACTCTCATTGGACTCAATCGAGCCAACCACCAAAATATTGATACCTGTGCCTAAACCTTACGGAGGCGTTATCCTCGTTGGGGACAAGGTGATTTATTATCACACAAAAGATGGACCACACATATCCCAATACATCCCTCAAGCAAAAGTGAGTCGTTTCATTATTAGGCAGTGTTTCTTTTTATCGCTGAAATCGATGCATTTCTACTGGCAAGCCGTCATTGTACACAGATTTTGGCTTTGTCTGGTCTCGTGGACTGAATTATACGATAGTAAAATCTCTTTTTATGTCCGCAGCAATTTCCGGTGCTCCACTGGACCAAGTTCTATGTTCACTTATCTGATCATGGAAGCTCCCTCATATCAGGTGCTTTGAACCACGTTACTTTACTAGTCGTCCCTCCAAAGTTTTCCTCCTCATTGTATCTTGTTCTCCGGCATACTGCAAGTGATGTATCACGTTCCGTTGCGTCTAGTGTGGTTATGTATAGACCAAAGACTTGGTTGTAGCAGAGGACGTTAGATGACTGAGTCTTATTGACAACCTCTACCTTCGAAGCGTTGCTGGGACAACTGAGTGAGTAGTGCTGAAATTCACCACGTGATATTTGACAACGGAACCATTCCCCGGTGCCTCCTTGGAGTATCTGTTCATCATTATCATTTTACACGTTAGCTGGGGGTGTGAAACACCCAAGCTGTTGGGCCATAATGTAACTGGACAGGATGTACGAAGGAAAGCCAGTTAACAAATATCGCAGAATACCAAATAAAAAAAAGCAATGTTATGGATATTTTGTGTTACCCTCCCGAAAACACTACACTCCATTACTCATATTGACTTTGCTTATTTTCATCAGATGTATGTATGTATTCTCAACAGTCTAGTAACTAGACATAGAGCCAAGAAAACCATGGAAATCAGTGTATAAGAGACAGTCATTGCGTCATAATCGTCATGGCATGCTAGCTGAAGGTGGGCAACACACTTCAACTAATATGCCGCAAGAAAATGGAATATTTTGACAAAAATACAGAACAAAACATTTTTAGTTTGTTTGTCACACGCCGGTTTTTCTCTTTTTTTGTCATTTTCAATTTTTGTAGAATTAAACATGTGAATCAACACAACACTGTACACAATTCTTCCATTGATTCCGGTTGCGGGCCATGTCTTCAAGTGTCCTAAGCCATTGGCACTCGCCATCTTTGGGTCCCCATCCTGGAAGACGTACGGGTCCAACAGCGGCTAGACACGACGTCAGCGATTTCATGTGCTGCCGCCAAGTGGAAGGCTGACCACCACGCGGTCGCTTCCAGCCAGGTCCTTGACGAGCGAATAGAGCGCGACGCGGTAGACGCTCAGGTGCCATGCGTAGGACATGACCGAGCCATCTTAACTGGCGCAACAAAACCAGTTTGTTGAAGGAAATACTTGCATTCCCCAAGACGCGACGTCGAACGTCATTACTGGTAACTCGATGTTGCCACCGAACACGAGCGATCCTCCTTAAGCAACCGTTATCGAACGCAGAAAGACGACGCATGTCTTCCACGCGAATCGGCCAGGATTCGCTCCCGTACAACAATACTGAGCGAACGGACGCGCTGTAAACTCGGCCCTTTAGTGAGAATGAGACGTCGCGACGACGCCACAAGTGCCTCAGATTGACAAATGCTGATCGAGCTTTAGCGATACGAAGCGAAACTTCTTTGTTGATTGTGCCGTCAGCGGAAACACAGCTCCCAAGGTAGACGAAACTATCTACCTGTTCAAGTTGTGCACCTTGGAGAGTGAGCACGGGTGCAGGTGAAAGCCAATCCTTGAGCAGTACTTTACACTTCGATGGGGCGAAGCTCATGCCATACTTAGATGCTTCAACCGCCAAACGATCCAGAATGAGTTGCATACCCTGAGGATCGTCACCAAGTAAGGCGATATCATCAGCATAATCTAAGTCGGTCGCGCGCTCACCCGGTAGAAGCTCTAGGCCAAAATGTTGGAAACCTTCTAGGGCATTCGACAGAACGTCTTCGATTGCGAAGTTGAAGAGGAATGGGGACATAGGGCAGCCCTGTCGCACACCGCTATTGACAGCGAATTGCGAGGAAAGCTTGCCATAGACCCTCACTCTGCCGGATGTGTGAAGGTAAAGTGCTCGTAAGATGGCGATATATTTCTCTGGCACCCCGTTCTTTAGTAAGCAACGCCATAAAGCAGGTCGATCAACGGAGTCAAAAGCGGCACGTATGTCTAGGAATGCAACGATAGTGGGCCTGTGATAAATATGGCGATGTTCAAGGAGTTGGCGGAGCGTGAAGATTTGATCCACGCATCCGCGGCCAGGACGGAAACCAGCTTGTTCTTCACGGTAGTACGATTCACGTACTGGGGATAGTCTACGAAGTAGAATGGATGCCAACAGCTTAGAGGCAACCGAAATAAGACTAATCCCACGATGATTTGCACATGAAGTGCGAGCGCCTTTCTTGAAAATTGGGACAATAACTGATTCGCCCCAAGAGGGAGGCACTCTCTCTTCATGCCAAATTTTTGCGAACAGCGCGGTTAGCTGGTTAATGACTGCCACACCGCCATACTTGAATAGCTCCGGAGGAAGTCCGTCTAAGCCGGCAGCCTTGAAGCGCTTCAAGCGTCGAATCTCGAGGCAGACTTCCGCTTCGCTGGGTGGATTCAATGGGACTAGCCAAGGTGGACCGCAAGGTGTACTGCATGTACTGATGGATGGTGGAGGCCAGTTGAACTGCGAGTGAAAGTGCTCGGCCCAGCGGTCCATACGCCTCTGTTGGTTGGTGATCGGAGACTCATCCACCTCACAAATGACCTCACTGACACCAGGTTTCCTGAGGCCAGTGGACCGAATGAGTTGGAAAAGCCTGCGAGTGTTACCAGAGAGGGCAGCAGTCTCCATCTCTAAAGCACGCTCAGACCACCATGTCTCGCGATCCTTGCGGAGGCTTTGCTTAAGCAGCCGGTTGGTAGAACGGCGCCGCTCGTTGCAATCTGATTCCGCGGAGATATCTTTGCGGCGTTCGAAGAGCTCCAGAGAACGAGCAGAGATCCAAGACTTCAAAGGGCGTCGAGTTAGACCGCAGTATGACTGTCCGGAAATGGTCAGCGCTTTCCGTATATAAGTCCAGTGTTGTTCCACTTCTCGCGGTGGGTTGCAACTGAGTGCATATGCCAGTGAAGACTGATAGCTCTCCTGGACAGAGGAATCAGCTAATCTGTTTACATCAATCTTGCGGTGCTTCATGTTTCGGGATCCTCCAAAACACATACAGATTTTCGCGCAGACCAGAGCATGATCTGAATCAACGAAAGTGGACCAAAAGGACCTGCAGTCCAGTACGCTGCCGCGCCATCTGAAGCTAATCGCAATGTGATCAATTTGAGACCAAGGTTGTGTTGGCGAAGGGGGACGCCAAGTTGCGGAACGTTTCTTCGTACGCCTGAAGCTAGTGCTCGAGAGAAACAGACGGTTGTCCTCGCACAATGTGAGAAGTCTCTCTCCGTTATCAGAGCGGTTCTCATCGAGCGCGTGATGACCACTAAGGTGGCGTTCGTATGGTAACAGGCGGCCAACCCGTGCATTAAAATCCCCAGCAAGGATAACGACATCCGACTTTTTAGCATTAGTCAAGAGCTGTTGTAGATCTCGGTAGAAATCGTCCTTGACCGAGTCGCTACTGCAGTCAGTTGGAGCGTATACAGAGATCACAAACAAGTTGCGTCTCTCTTCGCGTTGCCTGTTGATTCTACATGAACCCCGAAGCCGAACTGCACATAGTCGGCTGTTAATCGGGAACCAGTCCAGTAGTGCCGCCTCGGCCTTGCCACTCAGTGCTATACCTACACCAGCCAAACCCGCTGAGCTTGCTTCTGGATCTCCAGAAAGACGCAGGTGATATCTGGCTTCGTGGTCAGTGGGGGATGTCAATGTAAGCACAGTGCTGGGATCTTGCAATCGGGTTTCTGAAAGACAGCAGACATCAATGTCTAGGGAATCTAGGGTGCGCGCTAGACCGGCTTGCTGTCCAATCTGCATGAGTGTCCGGACGTTGAAGCACGCTAGACGGAACGAGGATTGGGGACGAAGGAGAGCCATAGGTTGAATTCCTTGATCTGCGGAGCAACCGGAATCGCAGCCAGATTGTTGAACAGATGAATCGAGTAACCGAAAGTGAGGATTGTTAGCAAACAAACAATTGGCGTGTGATGGAGTAGCGTGAAAGTGAGTAGCAGGAATAGTAGCTGATGAGCGCGTTGTGGTACAGTCCATGGTTTTGTGAGAGGGCGTGATACTACCCGGTTGCCCAAGCCGAAGTAGGGAGTTGACTTAAGGGACTCCACCCCGAGCCTTTGGCTAAATAACCTACCCGCAAGGCAGCGGGGCGAATTTAGGGAATCGCGCCCATTGGGAGGCGTTGACTGAATGATCAGCTCATGCGCCTTTGTTTGGTAGATTACCAAACAGGGGCCCAATACTCCCCATGAAGTCAGCACAATTGCTGGAATACAATGCCCCACGGAGGTGGAACATTGTCGCTGAACACTTTGCTGGAACGGGGTACACCCGAACCACCCAGCTGGCACCACGGGGAGGTAGTTCGGCAAGCCAGCCGGCCTTGAAACTTGGACTACTGGGATACTAGTTGGGGTCTCTATTCTTTTAGCTACTGGCTCACGGCCGGCAACGCTTAGCACAACGGTTAATGACTACTTGTAAGGTCATTTTGAAGTACTCATTGTGTGATTGGATCGTGACGCGCAATCTCAATGTAGACCGTGATTCGCATTGGAACGAACCTTGGCCAATAATTCGATCACTAGGATTGTAACTGAGGCGTATGGCAATTGGGTGTTGCCCGCCCGAAAACACTGCACTTTACTACGCCTTTCGATCTCGCCTTATCTCATCAGATAGAGAGCAAGTGTGGGTATGCGGTGTTCTCCGAGCTGGGTGATCTGGATGCAGGCGTTTTGTCGTCAGGCTAGACGACATCATCAGTGCGATTTATGCAGGCCACTTACAGATACAAGTAATTATTGATCACTTACTGATGCGAACGTCAGGTGTCGCTTGGTCCAGGTGAGTTGACCGTATAGTCAGCTCTTGTGTTCCGTTGGCTAGAGTCCGCTTCAATGACGCACCATTGTCCTGTTGTTTTGGGGCGGAGTATTGATTTATCTCTCAGCGCTTCATAGGCAGTGTCTAAACTTTTGTCTGTTGATAGAATTCTTCCTCGAGTACCAAGCTTCCACGAACTCGCGCGTTTTTTACTTTTTGCCTCGCCTATGATCGTGAGGTTCTCCAAGTCAAACTGATGATTTTCGGCGTCCATATGTACCAACATCAAGGAGTTATGGTCATGCCGGCGGATAATAATAATAATAATAATAATAATAATAATAATAATAATAATGTGTCAGCCGTACGCCGTAACGGCGCTTCGCTGCCGTGCGACCACCAACAGTTGCACTGGGGCTGAGTATACCGCGAGGACGCCCACCTCTACGTGGATTTGAACCCGCGCCTTAAGATTACGAGACAAACTCGTTACCTTTAGGCTACGGGCCCGCCATTACCTCTAGGCTACGGTCCGACGGCAAATGAATAGGCTATGCTCATGTAGCCTAGTGCCGAGCTTCCTTCCTGTCCGGCCCACCTAGTATTTCTTACAATTTTTACAGTTGAATTTGTAAATCACGCTACTTATTTCTTCCTTGCCAAACCGGTCCTTATCTCGAATCCTTTCTGTCGGCTTGTATGCGTCACTTTCCGATGCATACGGAGTAAATCCTGAATTATCGCGGCAATCATCCCATGATGATTGTCGTCTAGTCTGACGATGAAACGTCTGCAGCCAGATCGCCCAGCTCGGAGAACACCCGCACACCCTCATCCGCATCCTTAGCTACAAATATTCTCACGAATTTCCAGAGCGGGCAAGTTTCGAATCCAGGACTATTTTTGGATGTTACTTGGAACCACTTCCCCTTTAACCACCTGGCCACGACTGATAAAGACTACCATAACGGTTACTGACTCTTTGGATGGCCATTTTGACTTACTCGTTGTGTACTTGGATCACGACGCGCATTCTCAATGTGGGCCGTGATTCACATTGAAGCGAACCTTAGCCAATTCGATCACTAGGACCGTAGCTGAAACGTATGATATTTGGGTCCTAGTGATCGAATTGGCCAAGCTTCGCTCCAATGCGGATCACCTTCCGTATTGAGATTGCGCGTCGTAATCCAATCTCACTAAGAATACTTCAAAAACTGGATAATCAAGCCATTGATCAGACCACATAGTTGGACTGCACCTCGAAACACCGAGGAATATAACATTTATCATTTATCATTTATCACTTTGTCTTATACTGTGCATCGAGAGTTAGTTGGTGCTTGGGATGGAGTGGTTCAGTGAGTGGGGGAGACCAAGGAAACAACATGAACGCCATGTAAACAAGTGTATGCAACCAAACAGCTTCGTCGTCTTTTGGGCCCCAACCCTGCGGTGCCTGTTTATCTTGATTCGTCTTTTTCTGACTTGACTGCCTATCATTCGGCTGACTGCGTGTATTTTTTTGTCAATGGCACGGGTAGTTAGGTGAAACCTCCATTGGCTCAGTCAAAGACATGGCAAATAGCAGGAAAAAACTCACCGAACTGCAGGGTCCTCTGGACCCGACACGTCAGCAGTTGGAAGCGTTATCGGCTATGGGCCGCCCTTTATTCGTTCTCTTACCTCAGACCCTTATTTTTCTGTCAGCCGATGTAACTTCTTGTGAATTTTTGTTGTTTTATCATTATTACTCTTGTTCTCCTGATTACGACGACGTGTATCAAGGCTACAGTGTCCACATCATTTTGTTGCACGAATTACGCTTGGCCAACTGAACCATTTATCTTTGACTTCACGCGTTACGTGCTGAACCGTCTGTATCATCTCCTTCAAACGCGTACTATTGTTCAGTAAGCTCTACTTTTAGTTCCTCACAATAACTGGTGTGTTAGCCACCTCATTCCCGTTTTCTATTTAACCTATTCGTATAACCACCGCCAGCTTTTCCGCTTGCTTCATATAGAATGGAAGTTCTTCCGAGCGGTCAACTGATCAACTTAGACAACGCGAGCAATCCATCCCCCAGGGCTCGGTGTGGCGTAGTTACAGAATTACTCGCTGCCTATCCGTCCTCCTTCGTCTAGCTGACTTAGGTCCAGCGCTTGGGAATCGTTCTCTAGTTTTTAGTCGCTTTTTTGTATTTTCGTCGTCCATTTGCGGTTGAGTCCACCGTACTTTGGTGCTGGACTAACCGCTTTCGAGATCACTGCGGAATAAGCTGACACTGAACGTTGTTCGCTTCGCCAGCTGCAGCTGAAACACTGTTCATTCAGCACTATCATCATTCTCGCAGCACAAACGCAATTAAGGCCGGCTTCTGGTCATGTTAACAAACGTATCCAACCAAACATCTTCACCGTCTTTCGGACCCAAACCAGGAAGTCTAAAGGCTCCAACCGAGACCAATTTCGAAGTGAGGACTTCTTCCGCTTGACTAAATCCTTGGTTGTTTTTCCGACTTTTTCTATCCAACTGCTGGTCGCACAAACAGCGCACATCGCTAAAGTCCATGTGTTGGCATGTGCAACATGTGGCCTAGCCATCGAAGTCTGGTGCGTGAAATAATGCTACTGAGCGGTTCACCTCCTATTCCTGTGCCACAAACAAGGCGCCAAATACGCTCATTACTCAAGCGGTGTTTCAACCACATGTGTGCCAAGCTGCGAAGACAGCAATGATCGAACCTACCTAGCCTCTAACGGATCGATGGTCCAGATTTCACAATCCTACTTTGGGGTTGAACGGATGTCTGCATTGTAGTCGTTGTCCATCATGACGAGAGCGATGTCGCACCGGCGCTATGAGTGGTGAAAAGTAACAGAAGTGCCTGGAGCCTTTGCCGTGCGGTTTGTGATCTTCCACTCTATGGGCGCCACTATAGATGCCTATATACTTAAATTTCTGAACGGCTTTTATTTGATACCCACCAAGAGTCAGTGCCAGAGGTAGTCCCTTGAAATTTTAAACAGGATCTTTTCATTTGGAGGGTACAATGCACAGTCTGTGCTAATCTGTCCAGTGCTCCTTGTCACATTTGTGAGCTGTCACAGATGCTGGGAATGTCGTCAGCGTACTCCACGTGAATGTCATTTGCATAATTTTTTCGCTGACGAATCAGCGATGGAAGCCATCTATCCATTGCCGATTTGCTTAAAAGATTGAACTGATGGTGTTTTATCAGCAACCTGTACCCACTGTTACGACTTGCCGAGTTAGAGTTTCTTACTTGTTATTTAATCTGCATAGTCATCCGACCGACGAGGACCAATGTCGAAAAGCGTACAATCTCATTATTTATCCACCACTACTGACAGTCTATGATCGCTTACATTAGGTTTATACGTGACAACCTGCCGAGATCATACGGCAGTTTATTTTGACCATTCTAACCTCTTTCTTAGAACTCTTTTGCAAATCATACTATTTCATATGATTTCCCAACTTGACCCTAGTGCTGCTTCCTTTCTTACTGCAGGCTTGTCAGGTTATCTGTTACGAGGCAGTTGACGTGCAGCGATATCTCTTGGGCGACATAGCGGGGAGACTATACATGGTACACCTCCTAGCCGATGAGTCTTCCGGCAACGGTTCCAATGGCAGCACTGCCCCTCGTATTGCTTCCATTAGGATCGAGCTGTTGGGTTAGTCAGATTTGTTGATCTGTCTACATTACCTATCATCGTCTGGTTAGTACCATTCCTTGTACACAGTTGGTTAGAACTTTTTTCTCTTTTGTGATTGGTTTTGCGACAACCCAATATACCTTCGGTATGTCGTATCGGGGATGGGGAGACGAATGTCCGCACAGCTCAATTATTTGACCCGTATTTTCTCCCAATTTTTTGTCAACCGCTCGTTGCTCATACCCCGCATATGCTCATGCGAGACTGGGCGTTTTTTCTCTTATTCTATTCGGCTGACCTACCGTATCACTTATTAGTTATTTAGTACAACAGAGCAAACACAACGAGCATTTCAGCGGAATAACCTGGATTCAGTGTATTTCGTGTATTCTCATCAGCTGGGTGAAAACTTGGGAATGACAGCTCAATACTGGAAATCGATGTTTAATTGTGCTAGTAATGCAGGTGCATCCTACCAAGGCAAAGCAGGGTAGGTCAAAAACTCAAGCTGTTTGCATAAGTTAGGCTTCCAACGGTGGATAGCAGAAGACACAGTAAAACGCAGCCATTTGGGATTTTTTTTGTTTGTTGTTCACCTTGAATGCGTCATGAAGTTTTTGGCACGTCGAGCAGTCGAGTAAGTGCCAGGCAACAGAGCTAGCAGGTAATGTTGCACCGCTGAGAGCTAGATTTCACGGAATGTGTTCCGAAATCCGGGTAGACAACCTCCACTCTTATGAGTTAGAGGATTTTAATTTCTAGTTTAATGTATTCGTCCAGGCAGCCTACAAGCTACTTAGCTCAACCACAATCCGAAAAGCACCAGATGCGCCTCGCCCTATTTGGGCTCGCCAGTCATATTCTCGGACGTTAGCCAGTGTCATCTGCAAGTGTAGTAACCTGCGTGACAGTGGAAGATAGGTCGTGATATATCCCAGTTAGCTTGCAAATTGTGTAGCCCAACCGCTGTCCCCCATGGCTCAAAGGCTTAAGCTGCTGGCTAGTTGGCGTCTGCTTCTGATGGTCATTGGTTCACTCCGCAGTAGGGGGCCGAGGGAATGCGCACCACCGACGAGCCCAAATAGGGCAAAACGCTTCTGCTGCTTTTCCGTATTGTGGCTTAGCTATGTAGCTTGTGAACTGATGGGACGAAAACATCAAACCTCCTATCTGTCCGGCCGATGTACACGCTACCGCAAGTATTGTCAAACTGGTAAACACAAGAGGCGGTGACATCAGAGTGAGGTGTGTCTAAATTGGATTCGTGCAGCACCTTTTTAGTTCGGTGAAGAAACACTAGCTTCAGATCCATAATTGCACCTCTTAATGGCGCGACTTAAGCGATGACAGAGACGTCTGTCATTTTGGTCCCCATTAAAATGCAGTGGGATGAATACTTTATTCTTTGAGACTTCAGCCCGTTCTTGCGGCACGATTTTCTCTCCATATCTGGCAATAAACTTGTCCGGATAACCAATTTCACCTAGCGTGGACGCGACACTGAGTAGTCCTTCCTCAATCTATTTCTTCTGAACAGAGACGTTGGGTTCTCACAAAAGAGGCACGAACCAAATATCCCTTGTAGTTCATGGAGCAGTAGATGTTGAAGTTTAGCTATTGCCCCGTCCAGCTCGGTTTGTGGTAAATCGATCTTAAGAACGGGCCATCAAATCTTCTCTCAAAAGTTACATCTGAGAAGTGGAACTTTCCTGTTGTTTCGCTTTCCATGATGAACTTGATCTCAGGATGACGTCCATTGAGCATTTCGAGCATGCGTTCTGTTTGTTGGGCATCGTCCACTTCCACAAAAGTGTGATCAATGTATCGGGCGTACAAGTGTGCTTCCTGTATGGACTGGCGCAATATGGTGTTCTCTAAATGAGCCACAAACATGTCAGTCAATATGTAACAAAGTGGACTGTCCATCGCTGCACCCTCAACTTGCCGATAGAGATTTTCGCTGAAACGAGGTTGGACATCTTTTGTACAAATACAACGTAAGCTTTTCAGTTAGTGTGATGAAAACCCCACTATACTTCATCATCATCATCAAGCACGTTAGCTAGAGGTGGGAAACACAGCTACTGTGCCGCAATGCATAGAAAAAAGGAGCAACAAATGCAACTGGTGCAAGCCGGCTGAGCTACCGGTAACCGATGGACATCGTTCCGGTAAGCTACCAGCCGGCTACTGTGCATCAAAAAAGTTACCATGCAGAATTATACAATGCTAAATAGCGAGATCGTGGGTGGAGGAGGAGGGGGCTAAGAGGAATGGGGTGGGACAAAGAAACTCACAGCACGAACGCCATCGAGGTCGGCTCCTAGCCATATCAGCAAGTGTATCCAGCCAAACGCGTTCATCGTCTTTCGGACCCTAACCAGGGAGCCGAGACGCTCCAACTGAGGCCAGCTTCGAAGTGAGGGCCTTTATTCCTCTCGACCAAGTCATCGATTCACCACCCCTCTTCTTCCACCCACACCCCGGACGCGCATACAACGCACGTCGCGGGAGTCGGTGGGTTGGCATGCGTAACATGTGGCCGAGCCATCGGAGCCTGGTGCGTGCAATAACGGTGCTGAGCGGTTCATTACTTTTTCCCGTGCCCTAAACAAAGCGTCGAACACGCTCGTTGCTCACGCGGTGTTTCCACCAGATGTGAGCTACATTGCGAAAGCATCGGTGCTCGAACGTAACTAGCCTCTTCACCTCAGCTGATCTAAGGGGTCAGGTTTCACAACCGTACGGTAGGGTCGAACGTACCGCTGCATTCTACACTCTATCATTCAGGGCAAGAGTGATGTGGCGCCGGCGCCATAAGTGGCGATGGTTAGCAAAAGCTCCTCGAGCATTTCCTATACGGTTCATGATCTCATCTTCGATCCCAAGGGCGTTGATACAACTTCTCAGGTAGTTGAATTTCCGAACGACTTCTAGCTGATCCCGACCAATGGTCAGCGGAGGCGGTCCAGATCAATCTTGGGGGAACGCTTTGCACTTCGAGGGTGAGAAGCAAAGCCCGAAGTGACGGACAGCTAGTGCTAATCTGTCCAGTGCCGCTTGACACGTTTGTGAGCTATCACAGATCAGGGCAATGTCGTCTGCATACTCCAAGTCAAGAAGTCGTTCTCCTGGGAGTAGCTCCACATCTTCCAAGTCGTGTCCTGTGAACGCGATTTCCATGACTTCCTCAGTAGCGAAGTTGAAGAGGAAAGGTAACAGCGGACATCCTTGTCTCCCGCCGCTGGAGATATTAAAGGGCGACGACAGTTTGCCGTAAGCCCTCACTCTGCCTCAGCTACGCGCATATAATGCTCGGATAATATTCACATATTTCTCAGGTACACCTTTCCTGAGTAGACAGTCCCAAAGTGCAAGTCTATCCTTTGAATCGAATGCACTTTTGTTATCGAGGAACACGACAACGGTGGGCCGCCAATATATGTGAGGGTGCTCCAACCACTAACGCAAGGTGAAGATGTGGTCAATGCAGCCACGACCTCGACAAAATCTGGCTTGCTCTTCACGAATCTGACTTTCACGAGCGACAATCAGACTGTAAAGGATGACAGAGGCAAGCAATTTGGAGGCGATGGAAATCAGACTGATTCCTCTATAGCTACCGCATTCCGATCGTAAGCCTCCCTTGAAATTTGAACTATGACGGAGCGGCTCCAGTCGGTTAGGACAGTTTCCTGTTCCCACAGTTTGACTAGTAACTCTTGTAAATCATCCACAAGTGCAGGTCCCCTGAATTTGAAGAGGGCTTGAGGAAGATCATCTGGTCCCGCAGCTTTATTTAACTTTAACAGTTCGATCTCATGTTCGACTTCTGAGCGAGAGAGTGGATCCAAAGGGACAGCCTATGGAGCAGGGCGATCAGTGGCCGGCGAGAAATCTGACAATTACGACCGATTAAATTGCCTTTCAAAGTGTTCAGCCCAACGTTCGAGACGTTTTGACAACTTGTGGATAGGCTGTCCACTCTTGTCACGTATAGTTTCACTAACACCAGGTCTCCTGCTGCCCGTTTCGCGTATCAGACAAAATAACTTACGATGGTTACCAAGGGCAGCGGCCACTTCCATCTCTGATGCACGATGAGACCACTAGGATTCGCGGTCTCTCTTCAGGCTAGCACGTAGTTTCGCCCGGAGTTCTTTGTGCTTTTCATTGTGTTCGCTTCCAGTCGGAATATGCCGGCGAGCATCTATAAGTTCCAGAGACTGTGAAGAGACCCAGTGTCCATGTTGGTGATTAGACATACCACACGAGGATTTTCCTGCTGCTGGTAAGGTCTGCTGAATATGAGACCACTGAGCTTCAATTGCATCCAGTGAGCGTTTATCCAACTCGCATGACAACGTACTTTGGCAGTCATTCCGACCAGCTGGTTTCGCCACTTGGCTGGTGTCAGTGCGGCCATGTCGCCGTGCGCGTCCGCCAAAGCGCATCCGCAGGTCAGCACATACAAGTGTATGGTCGGTGTCTACACATGGGCTCCAAATCGAGCGACAGTTCTGGACGCAGCCACTCCACCTGTAACTTATCGCAATGTGATCGATTTGCGTCCATAGCTGGTTCAAGGCTGGTGGGCGCCAAGTCACCCTCCGGCGGGTGCTGTGTCGGAAGTTAGTGCTCGCAAGAAATAAGCGAGCATCTTTACACAAATGAAGTAACCGCTCACCGTTATCATTACGGGAGCCTACACCATGTTGGCCTCACAGATGCAGCTCATCAGTGGATACTTTTCCAACTTGAGCATCCAGATCCCCGGCCAACAATGCAGTATTCGAGCTTCTTCTGTGGCTAAGGAGCTCGTTCAGTTCACGATAGTAGTTGTCTTTTGCCGTCATCGCTAGAGTTTGTCGGTGCCTAGACGGCGATATCGAATAGACATCTGTTAGTCACACGCGACTTCGAAGCTTTGAACGAGCCAGCCAGTTGAATGGCACACATCCGGCTACTGATTGGAATCCAATCAACCAGGTGACTCAGAGCAATACCAACACCGGCTT